AACAACCAAATAAAAATTTCCCGCTCAGTAAAAAATAGTAGTGACACATTCTTAAGCATACCATTGGAGGAAACAAAAAATTACATACGTAAAAGGGGAAAGAATTGATATCAGGGAAGCCTAATCAATCATTTTTAATTCGGTTGATCAATCTAAAAAAAAAAAAAAAAAAACAGTCGTGGCAGTATATCGATAGGGAACTGCCAAGAATTGATATCAGGGAAGCCTAATCAATCATTTTTAATTCGGTTGATCAATCTAAAAAAAAAAAAAAAAAAAACAGTCGTGGCAGTATATCGATAGGGAACTGCCAGAAATTCAAGCCAGATTTAGAAGAGGATGGGGAACCACAGATATCATTGCTGATGTCACATGGATCTTGGCTGAAAACAGAGGATGCTAGAAAGATGTTTACCTGTGTTTTATTGAATATGCAAAGGCATTTGACTGTGTGGATCCTAACAAATTATAGATAACATTGCGAAGAATGGGAATTCCAGAACACTTAATTGGGCTCACGAGGAACCTGTACGTAGATTAAGAGGCAGTTGTTCGGACAGAACAAGAGAATACTGTGTGGTTTAAAGGTAGGAAAGGGGTGCGTCAGGGTTGTATCCTTTCACCATACATATTCAATCTGTATGCCGAACAAATAATCCGAGAAGCTGCACTAAATGGAGAACAGTACATCAGGATTGGAGTAAGACTCATTAACAACCTGTGATATGCAGATGACGCAACCTTGCTTACTGAAAGTGAAGAGGACTTGATGCACTTACCGATGAAGGTAAAAAAACTATAGCCTTCAGGATGGATTACACCTCAACATAAAGAAAACAAAAGTTCTCAAAACTGGGCCAATAAGCAACCTCATGATAAACGGGGAAAAGATTGAAGTTGTCAAGGATTTCATTTTACTTGGATCCACAAGCAATGTCCATGGAAGCAGCAGTCAAGAAATCAAATAACATATTGCTTTGGGCAAATCTGCTGCAAATGACCTGTTTAAAGTTTTAAAAGGATGTCACCTTGAGGACTGAGCTGCGCCTGACCCAAGCCATGATATTTTCATTCACTTCACATGCATGCAAAAACTGGCAATGAATACGAAAGACGGAAAAAGAATTGATGCCTTCGAATTATGGTGTTGGCAAAGAATATTGAGTATACCATGGGCTGCCAGAAGAACAAACAAATCTGTCTTGGAAGAAGTACAGCCAGAATGTTCCTTAGAAGCAAGGATGGTGAGACTTTGTCTCCCATACTTTGGACATGTTATCAGGAGGGACCAGTCCCTGGAGAAGGGTATCATATTTGCTAAAGTAGAGGGTCAGTGAAAAAGCAGAAAACCCTCAATGAGATGGATTGACACAGTGGCTGCAACAATGGGCTCAGGATGGCGCAGAACCGGGCAGTGTTTCCTTCTGTTCTACGTGGGGTTGCTGTGAGTCGGACCCAACTCAACAGCACCTGACAACAACAGCAACAAGCCCATTCATCAATAGAATATTTTGGTCAAAATATCAACAACTTCCAGAGCTGTAAGAGATAAAGAACCCTCAGAATATACTTTCTGTTTTTATCAGAGTTTGGTAAACTGCTACTTCTGGAGAGATGTTTAGAATATGGAAGTGGTTTAGAAGACAGACAGAAAGAGGATTTAAAAGTTTGGAAAGTGAGACCGTTGGAGGAAAAGCTTTGCCTAGTGAAAAAAGCACTGAGGATCAGTTGAATACCTCTATGAGCATTTGGTGAGCAGGCCTCCCTTAACAGTGTGGGATAGTGGGAAGGACTCTGGGCTAGTTTTGGAGCCACTGATGCATTTGCCAGTCATGTGCTGAGCACTGCACAAGCCCTCGCCCACCCAGGACTCGGAGTGAATCCCTTGATGGCCACGTAGTAGTGTTTACAGGGCACAAGACAAGAACAATGGAGGCCATCTACCATAGGTCTGATTTAAAACTTATAAATCAAGCTAACTGTTAAATAAAATACGTTCTGTCATCCTACTTCAATAAATATTCATAACAAAATAAAAAACTACACGTCATGTAAAGACTGAAAGTTTGCAAGACTTTAATAATTGCTGTCATGACTGGATTTTCTGAGATGGGCCCGTAATGTTTGGGTGAGTAATAAAGACATACATAAATCATAACCTACATTGTGTTCGCGCCATACAACCTATTTTTCTTGCATTTATTCTAGCAGAATCATTAACTATATTTTAGAATCAAAATTTCCCTGTATTGTGTTATCAATAATTATATAAACTGAACTAAAAAAAGAAAGTGATTGTACGTCAAGTGTATCGTTTGAATATTTGTCATCAAAGGTGTAAACTAAAGTAAATGTAAAACAAAAATTTTAACTTATTTTGCCTTAAAATGTTATTTTTAAAAATATTCAAAATTATTAATATTAAAATGAAATACAAATACGGTTAATAGATACAAAAAAGTTACATTAAAAACATTTGAATAAAGCTAGCCTTTTTATTTACTTTTTTGAAAATTAAATATTGTTATATATTTATAAAAATAAAACTATTCACAGTTCTAGGGTTCGGTGTTCCTCTAGTTGCCAACATAAAAAATCATTATATTTCACATATTATACCTGAACTGTTGTTGTGTTGTTGTTACGTGCTGAAGAGTCGATTTTGATTGATAGCAACCCCATGTGACAAAGTAGGACTGCTCCATAGGGTTTCCTAGGCTGTAATCTTTACTGGAGCAGATCACCAAGTCTTTCTCCCGAAGAGCTGCTGGGTAGATTTGAACCTCCAGCCTTTTGGTTAGCAGCCAAGCACTTAACCTTTGCACCACCAGGCCTTCTCCTTCCTGAACCACACAGAGTCAGATTTAAGAGTAATGTAAATGATTGCCACAGTGGCTGCAACAGTAGACCCAAGCATAACAAGGATGTGAGGATGGTGCAGGACCGGGCAGTGTTTTGTTCTGTTGTACACAGGGTCACTATGAGTCAGAACAACTCGACGGCACCTAACAGCAGCAACAACAGCATAAATGATTTATATTGCACAATGTTCCTGAGATGCCACATGCAGCTATTACAAATACTGTTTTGATTCCTGAGTGCCTCCAGAGCCACAGTTTAGAAGAAACAAAAGCAGTAGTATGGATGCTCAGCCCCACAGGGGAAAGGATGCTTCTTTAAGTAAATTCTACCGCATCATGCTGTCCAAGAGGAAGGGTTTTGTTGGAATTAGTTACTTCGCCTTTTCTCATATCTAAGCTTATCTGCCGCTCAAATTCTCTTTGTGCTCAAAAGTGGTCCATCACAACCTTCCGTCGTCCTTCTTGCGGTTCGGGCTCAGTCACCTTTTGTTTCACAAACAGAGCAGAAACATGGAGCTTTCCCCAGGGCCTGAATAGTGGTATCGCACAAGCAGATACTTAGGGTCGTTGGCTCTGTTGTGCCAGGACTGAGAGCCAGAGCCTGGTGACAGAGCAGCCACGTGTTCTTTAATGCACCTAGCTTTGTGTGTTGGTACAATGTGAGCCCTCTGAACAGCTTGGCCCAGGGCAGACGGCCTTCTTTCCTAGGTTAAAAACCAATCAACCAACCAACAAAACAGAACAACCAAACTCATCTCCATTAAGGCTAGGCCTCCTTTCCAAGGAGAACATTTATAAAATCTGATCATTTGTTGTGGCGCAGTGGTGAAGAGCTCAGCTGCTAACCAAAAGGTCGGCAGTTCTAATCCACCAGCCACCCTTGGAAACCGTGTGGGGCAGTTCTACTCTGTCCTAGAGAGTCGCTAGGAGTTGGAATCAAATGGACGGCAACAGATTTGTTTTTTCTTTTTCCCCTGTTGATTTAGTAGCTTACCTGTTTATTCACTTTCCTGTTTAACATGCATGAAAAACATTCCTTTCTATTGTCAATCAAATGCTGCTTCTCTGGTTACCCAACCCCCCCCCAAAAAAAAAAATTCTCCCTTCTCTCTGATGAATTCCTTTAGCAATTTTTTGGAATAAATTTTGTAATACTTACCCCACGGGGCCCTCTATTATAGTTATTTGGGTATATTACCTTTCCTGGTTCATTCATTGAGTTGACAAATATTTATGTTGCACAAAACAAAGTACCTACTCCCATGAGGCTTTCATTCTTGTGCGAGACACAAGGTAAAAATACAAGCATGTAATATCAAAGAGTGGTAACTGCTGTGAAGAAAATAGAGCTGGTTAAAGTGATAGAAAGGAGCCCTGGTGGCGCAGTGGTTAAGCACTTGGCGGCTAACCAAAATATCTGCAGTTTGAATCCACGAACAGTTCCGTGGGAGAAAAGACCTGGTGATCTGCTCCCATAAAAACTACAACCTACCAAGCCTTACGGGGCTACTCTGTCACACAGGGTCACTATGAGTCGGAATCAACTCAATGGCGTACAACAAGATGATAGTTTCAGGGGTGCTATTTTAGATAAAGGTGGTCAGGGAAGGCCCCTTTGAACAAAGGTGTGATGAAGGGAAGGAGTGAATACAGGTGTGAGTAGAAATAAAGGTGTCTAGGTGGAGGCAACTATAAGGATAAAGACTCTAAAATGGCAAGTGTTCACGAAGGTATTGCTAGAGAGGAGTAAATGAGGGGAAATGTGGAAAGAAAGAAATGAAGTCAGAGAAGGAGCCAAAAGCAAGGTCATGTGGGGCCTTACAGGCCAAGGTAAAAAACTTAGATTGTGAGCTCTTTGCAAACAGGAGGCTATGTCAAACCTTTGCATCACTCAGAGCTTCTAGCAGGTACCATCCATAGCTGTTAATAACTGTGTGTTTAATGAAAACTTCATTATATCTGGCTTTCAACTGATGAGGCTTCTAAAACTTCCCTGCTAATTTTGTTGCATTTGATGATATGATGGGAAATTTGAAGTACAGTTAAATAACACCTAGCTAGCATTTTAATATACTCTAAATAATAAGAATACAAACTCGGTAAGATCTCTGTGGTAATCTTTGCTCTTTTTCCTCCTAGGGTTTCCAGACTGTGTTACCATCATTTGATCTCTTCTCAAAGTATGGGAAATTATATTCAAAAGCTGGGCAGATTGTATAAAGGTAAATATTTTTTGCTATTGAGTACTCTAAATAGTATGTTAAATAGCATTTTTAAAAAGCAAATGAGATTGACTTTTTATCAGGCATTTTCAAAATCATGCTATAACTTTATACATAATTATAAAACTTCATAAATTTATCTTATTCTAATCTAATGGTGTTCAATATTTAAAAATCATGGAATTTGTTTTTCAAATCTCTTCTCCAAAGTGGATACCAAATTACTTTAAGAAATAGACTGACAAAAATCTTTTATCTTTAAGTTAGTTATGACAACACATTGAATAGTTTTACACAATACAATGAAAAAATACTGATGGTGTTAACTAAAATACCTTCTAGTACTGTATTAGTACAGTATCATTCACATAGAGTGTGCATTATTGGAAGTGTTTGATGCCTGAAGGATATCAAAGAATAGAGTCTGGGGTCTCTGATTAACAAAGTTTATAATATAGAGAAGAACAAAGATACCTATGTAAAATTCATCAGTTACAAAATAAGCTCTCAGGGAGTGCTGTATTCAGTTGCTTAAATGTTTTAGAATAGAGAAGTGATTATAATTGAGGTGAGTCTAGTAGGAGGTATTCTGGCATTTTCAGTCAAATTTAAGAAGAAATTGGACAAAGATAGTGAAGATCACTAGAGTGGAAGGTATGAGGCAAAAACGAGAAGTTGGGGTTCCCCCGATATTCTCCTGAACCGTGAACCAAGGGAAAAACACTGGTCCATTGGAAAGAGCAGAGGATGGATTTGAGCAACTTAAGTTCCCTAGATTTAGCATACAGTCTCCACTGTCCCATTTATAACTTTAAATGCTGTAACTTAGAAATTAATTGTCAGAGTTACCGACTCACGGTGCCTGATACACCGCAGAATGAAACGCTGCCCTGTCCATCCCCATAATCAGTTGTGGATCGGATTTTGGGAAATAGATCACCAGCCCTTTCTTTCTACTCTGTCTTAGCTGAGTGGTGGTTGTGCTTGAGGAGCATTGACAGGGAACTGAACCCAGGTCTCCCACACAGAAGACAAGAATTCTACCACTATACCACCACCTCCCTTGCTGTAAAGTAAACTCATCTATATTCCTAAAACAAAGTGGGCAGAAATCAGTGTGAGTGAGAGTGGAATACAGAGGACATATTCCCCCATGAGTGGAGTAGATGGAGAAATCCCTGCCGTCCCTCTCTAAGGCCGAGCACATGAATGAGCATGGAGTTCTGGTGGGCGAGGGTCAGGGGACTAAGCCCGCAGCTTCTGAACTAGTGACTAACCTTTTAGGAAGTGGGTATCTCTTCTGCTGGGCAAAACCTGTACTGAAAGATTTTAAGTAAGAATAAATATCATTTGTACAGGTAGGAATGAGAGGCCAATTATGTAAGTTGACTTCTCGGGGTAGACACAAAGGGAGAAGATTTCCCACCTCAGGAACCCAATGGTTAGTTACGTACTCACTGATAGAGCCCATTACAATGATTAATACTGAACAAACAAAAACCTTATGCAAATAGCAAGTGCATCTGACCTAGGAAGCCAATTCACAACCTCAGGAAAGGGGAACAATCTGTCCTCTTAGAAAAAGTCGTTTCCACAGAAGCAGACTGAATGCAAGAAATGAAAGAAATAAGAGAAATCTACTCTTTACAGTGATTTTGGAGAGAACTCTGCATCAGTGAAACAAATGGACTATCACAAAAAAAAAGAAATGTTAAAAGTATAGAGAGTTGCTAAAGATGAAAAATGAACTAAAAATCTGAGTACGTGCAATGGATGGCCGTATGGATACCATAGTAAACCAAATTGGTTCGTTAGAAGACCTGTCAAAGAATTCTCCCAGAGCTCAGAGGAAAAAAGCAAAAAGGTGCAAACAATAAGAAAAAGTTATAATACATAAGGAATAAACTTGAAATAGGAATCCCAGGAGAGATCAGAAGAAATGAAAGAGAGCATTAATCAAAAAAATGCCCCCTAACCACCACCACCACCACCAAAAAAAAAAAAAAGATTTCAGTGTTCAGATGAAAGGAGTTCTCAAAGTGTTGATCAAGATTAGTATTTAAAGACATTGCCTTACTCCAAAGCCATAAGAATTCCTACAAAAGAAAAAGAACAGATTACCTATAAAAGGAAAAATTCCCAGTGACATCAGACTTGTTGTCTGCAATAAGAAATGCCGGAAAGCAGTGAATCAAGGGTTATAGATTCTGAGTTAAAGAAGGACCATGACCCTCAAATTTTGTGCTCAGCTTAAAAGGAAAGAAACATTTTTAGACAGACTTAGTACAAACTGTATACTTACTGCTCATGCATGCTCTCTGAAAATTCAAGTTCTCATGAAAAAAACAAAATGAAAGGAATAAGAAATAAAACCAGGAAAAAGACCTTGTATTGAAGAAAAGCTGTGAGTAATGAACCCAGTAGAACTTTCGTTTTTTAAGTTTATGCAGTCAACACTTGGAGTTAAGAAGCTTAGTGCAAATTGTTCAGAAGAAGTTTTTGAAATACGACATACCTAATGAAAAATAAATCTGGAACTAAAATACCGTATTTATGAATATACTCTAAAAAAAGGAATCACCAAATTCCAATAAACTTATGAATAGAATTCCAGTCTCTCTAGTAAGCAAAGAATTGCACATTAAAACAAAAATTTAAAAAATATATATTTTGGTTCTTGGTTTATTTTTGCCTCTCAGACTGGTAAAGCTTTAAAAGATTGATATCAAGCAGAATTGATTATGGTGTGATGATGTGGGTATCATCTTTACATCTGTTGGGAGTATAAACGTTACAAACTTTCCAAAGGACAGCTTGGAAATATGTATCCAAAGCCTTAAGAAAACAGTTTATACTCTTTGTCCTAGCAATTGCACTTCTAGGAATTTATTGCAAAGAAATCATTGGACAAAAGTTCACAGATGAATTAATCCTGTTTATAATGGTGAAAGATTGAAAACAACTTGAATGCTCATTAATGCATGCTGATAAATAATGAAACACATACAGTGCTATACTATGCAGACATTAAAATGTTAGCATAGATCCTTACCTATTAATTTGAAAAGATGCTTACAATATATTTTGAAGAAAAGAAAGCTGGATTCAAAGCTGCCTGTATAGTTTGATTCTGTTAAAAAAAATACATATGTGTGTGTGTGTGTTTACATATATATGTATATATACATAAAATACATGGGTATGTGTAAAAACACACTCACACTTACTGATGTATTAAAATTATACATTTGTATATTACAAAATGTTAATGGTGGTTATCTCTGGGTAGTGAGTTTATGGGTACCTTTTTGGAAGATACTTTTTGTATTTGCATTTTTTGTTTATATAATCAGACAAAAACAAAGCATTAAAACAAAATACTCCAGTAGGGACTACTTGCGCTTCTCCACCAATTACAAAAACATCTTGACTTATTCAATTCAATCATAATAATTTAGAGACAATTATCTCTTCTTTCTGAAGACAAAATAATTACTTGCCAAATTATTTATACCAAGACAAGGATGAGTAACAAATGTTTCACATTATTTTTAATTAAAAAGAGTGTGCAGTGCAAAGATACAAATGTGTGATAGACATGAAAAAAAATGTTTGCTAACTCTTCCCTTGGAGTTTTAACTATTTTATGAATTGAAAATATTATGAAAGTGTCATCATCTCCTCTTAGATAGGACATGAATGTTTAGCGTTTAATTTGGGTAAGTGAAGAGTAGCAGCCTTAGCTGAGCCTCTCTATTAAGATTTAATTTCCCCAGATACCCCAAAGTGCTTTTGCTCTTTGTAAAGAGGCCAAGTCAGGGACACGTGCACCAAACTGTTGAATAAAGATGCCGTGGTAATCTTTCGAGCGATCTATTTGATTGCTTCAGCTTCAAGATAGTTCATCACTTCACTATAACTCACCCGACACTGCCTCTCCCACCCGGACTACATTTTCCCATCAGCCCGATTAGAAACAGTGATGCCTTTATCAGATTAATCTTTCTTCCCTTTAGTGTGTCTAAGTTGAGAATACACAGCCTACACCTCTCCATTATCACTAATGCACTAAGATTTCAGCTCCTGAAGTTATTCAGCATGAATAGATTTTAAACACATATTTTATAATCTACTCTCTGGCTCGGATAATATGATTCTTTTTAATCTCTTTGAGTTTTCTTTACCTTTTGTAACCTTTGATAGTTTGGCCAAAGCAGTTTTGTCTAAATCAGAATACACTCAGTCCTATCAGAGTGCTCTCTGATCCTTTTACCTCCATTCACCTTGCCAGGAAGAGCAAAATTAAGAAGATAAGGTGAAATCATTGTTTGCAATTTTATGAATTGAATAACGTGTCCAATTCAGTCTGGAATCACTGGGAGTTTTCTTGCCTTATCTGTTTCTCAACCAACTCAACTTTTCTTTGCAATGTGCTTTGGTCCAGGCTGTCTTCCTACTAAAAAGTCATTCAATTTTGAGGCCAGATGAGATGACTTTTCAATTAAATTACTTGTTATACGTGAAAAATAACACACCTTTTCTCCTTTTCCATAGGGAGTTGACATATTATTGACTCAAACAGCTGAGAAAAAAATAATAAAACTGAAAAATAAGTAGTTAGCACCTGAATTGGGAAAGAAGGGATGAAATGCTTTTTTTTTTTTTAAACCTCCCTTCCCCGAGGGAATACCATCTTAGCAACTGTGTAAGGAAAAAGGGGGTATATGAGGGGAGAGTAATAATCCAGTACATAATATGTATACATGCCTACTAGGAATTAACATTTTAATTCAACAAGAGAAATTATTTAACCATGTCATTTAGTTTGACATTATGTGAATTTATAGCCCTTTTCAGTTTAGTCATCCTGAGTTGGCCAAAAAAATTCATTGAGATATCTTCAGTCTCCCAATAACAACACCACCGCAGGCTAATGAACAAGTTTTATAAATACCAAGGGGAAAAAAAAAAAGATCTCTTCAGTCTCTTTCTCTTTGCTAAACTGACTTTGAATAAAGATGATATAACCAGCCCACCTGCCTATAGGAATGCGCTTTGCTGTGTTTTTCCATGGTTCAGGCGGATCTGCTGGAC